TTAGAAAATGTCCTACAGTGCGCAATGTCTGACAGCCACACTGTGAATAACCAGCAGGTCTACAGGCAGAATCCCGGGCTGTCCTTCCTTCCTTACACCAGGAAAATGCCTTGACACACAACAAAAAGGTATAAAAAAACTCAATCTCGGCAGGAAATATCAAAATTTTATTATGTAGATGGCAAAAGTAACCACTCACAGCCTCTTTGCAAACAGAAGAATCCACTTCAGCTGCCTTAGGAAAATGCACTGGTTTGTCCGTTGGTATCTCTCGTCATGCAGATTGTGTGCAAAGCAATGCAGAGCCACATTAGTGACATGCAGGGTAAAACGGACAGTACCTGCAGGCTCAGGGAAGGACTGAAGTGAGGAAGTGAACACAGTCACCCCCTGGAAGACACTGAAAACACAGGAACCCTCGTTCCCGGCTTTGCCATCTGACATTGTAGGAACCTTCTTCCTGACACAGCATATCTGGGTGGTCAGGCCTGGGGATCCTTCCCTAAGCTACCTGGAACACTCCAGGGCAACAAGGCCAAGAGATCCAGCTCAGAGGAGACTTGCAAGGATTGCAGGGAGCCCCTGTACTCCCTGGACCCCCAAAGCACCATGTAGCACCGCATTCTCCTAAGATTCTGTTTCAATTTGTAGAGTTCCTAAGAATCACAAGACACTTTTATGGCAGTGCCAAATGCTTACAACAGCTCATCAGTTCGTATGTTTCCAAAGTGTGGCCTTAGACATAGTATGCACCTCTATGAATATCATTTTCTTTACCCTAAAAGTATAGAAAATACATAATACACGCCCATGCCAAAGTATACACGAGGCATAAGTTATGTGTTATTTTAAGGAATGTGCCTGCTATACAACACAAGTTCCATACATTTCAGAAATATCTCAATAGTTTTGAAAAAGGAGAATCCACCTTCAACCCAAGCTCACAGGATGCCACCACTGCCATGGGTTATTCGTTCTGCAAGCCCAAGAAGCATCTGTAATTATACCACTGCCATAGGCATTGGAGATTTTTCTTCCATAGACTTTGAAATAGACAGGTGCTCTTTCCTGAAAAATCCTAATCTATGCTAACCAGCTCTCAGTTTTATCCAGGTTTTGAGGGAGCTCAGAGAAAACTGAGCTTTGGGAAGATGACCATGGACTGCTTTTTTTTTCCTAGAGGAGGAGACCTTCCTACAGGGTGGCCTGGTTCTTTAAGGGAAAAAAAAAAACAAGAAACAAAAAACAAGCAACACAAACCAACCAAAAATGCCAGGAATGCAAGCTCTGCCAACCAGATAAATAAATAAAATGTGAGATGCTTCATAATAGCTGGACATAATGCATGTCTCAGTCCTGCATAACGGAAAAACGCTACTTTTCTATCAAACCTTCAAATGGGCCCTTGGTCCTTAGTCTTCATGGACTTCTCTGAGTAACTGACAATCTATATACCCAAAGTAAATGATCAGCTTATGGACCTCTAGCTATGATCATTGGGGCCTGAGACACTCTGAAAGTTCCCTCCTTGCCGTGTTGCTTCTTGGAGCTATGAGCAGAAGCCCTCAGCTAAGCAGGTGAAAAAGTCCCCAGTTAATTCCCTCCTTCACACTTAAAAGATTTAGGGAAGTTATACAACACAACCACTGTATTGTATCCATTATCAAATATTTCAAAGATCTTGGAAAATTCTACACAGGTAAAAGGAGATATGTTTTGTTGACTTGCTTTCTACGTAACTGTTAGACTGTATTACAGATCAGGCACTTTGTTCAGATTTTGTACATATTCATAGTTTTCACCCTCATAGCAACCCTATGTGTAGAGCCCTAATTATATCCACTTTGCATATGCTGGAGCTAGGCTGCAGAGAGATTAAATTCTTTGTTCAAAGTCACACAGCTATTAAGTGTCTGAGCGGGGATTCACACCCAGACAGGCTGGCTCCAGAATCCATGCTCTGAACCGCTGGGATCCTTGGTCACTAATGGGATGTGGTCAGTGGCGATCTAGGAGCAGAGTGAGCAAGGGATCCTAAAAGCCTGGGCAGCTCTGCCCATCTTTCTTGTCTATACTGATGAAGACACAAAGACTGTTCAAATCAGAAGATGACACTTTCTTCTTAGGTCGTAGGACACTAAAAAGCCCCATTGGACGGACACTCTCAAGTGGGGTGGGAGAGGGGCAGGGTGGGCCCTTGAATTCTTATAAATGGGGAAACAACCAGAATTAGAACTTCTGCTATTATCTGAACATTAGGCTCATCTTGCCATGAAAACAGAGTGGAATGGGGAAGGAGAGGAAAAATTAAGCAGCTTGGGAATGTGTTTGCTTTGGCACCCAGCCTTGGTGGCCTCAGCCCCTTCAGCCGGCTCCACACCAAGAAAGAACCAGGAATAACTCAATGGCCGGTTTCAGTCTATTTAAGATCTGAGAACAGAACCCTCAATACACTGTATCGTACTTTCCACATATAAGGGAAATTCAGTCCCCGCGTTATTTCAAAGTGCATGTTAATTTGGTACTTCATGCTGTCAGAACCCTGTGAGGTCTCAATCTAGAACAAAAGTGAATAAAGGTTCTTGGTCAGATCCTAACCACAAAAGCAGGCAAATATCCCAGGTTTCCGACTCCCGTTTAAACACCACCTCCCTACAACTTCTCTTTGGCTCATGAATTTGGAAAGGGGCAGAAAGGAAAATCTGACTTAATCACTGAAGCCAAATAAGATCCCACACAAGCTGTCTCCACGCATAAGAAATGAAGCAATGCAAAGAAATCTTTCTGACAAATACTGAAGTCACAGCTGGGGATGCAAAGCCACACTACAAGCAGTTAAACTTTAAACACATGTCCTATATGGGCCAATGGGCAAGGCAAACTCCCATGCGATGTCTTGTCCTTCCACTAGCAAAAGCTGGCAGCCCTGGCCAGGTCTTGTCAGTCTTTGCACCTGCAGGCTTTGGAGTTCCTCTACTGAGCTTTTTAAAGGTATGTTGCAATATGACAGCAATGCACACTGAGAAGTTAAAACGGTTCATTTTACTTCAGGCACTTGTTCGCCAGATAGTTTTACATAAGTTACTTACCTTTTCTGTGTCTCTATTTCCCTCTCTGAGATATGGGTATAATATTTACATATTATACGCAACTGAAGTCCAGAAACAAATGGACCAAAAATTTCTTAATACATCCTATCTATCCATCCTTAAACTTCTGCCTTTCTCTCCTATTAAGTGTTAGAAATCAAACCTAATTACAGTGAATGGCAGATGACTGTCTGATTTCTTGGGCCAGCTGAAATTTTATTGGCGGTCACTTACCAACCCAGATCGGTGGCTTGGAAACCTTTCTTGAACAAGAAAGCCTCTGTAAAACCAGTTATGATAATGGATACTACTGCAACATGAAGCCTTACTGTACCCACCTCACGCATGGGCAAGCTAAATAAAGTTAGGTGCTCAGGGCTTATTTTTACGAATAACTGAAATATAGCACCATACACTTTAAATCTCTAATATTTAATATTAAATTACAAAGAAACATGCTTTAGCTGTGTACAGTGATCTAAAACATGTGTTGCCAGGGGCTCTGGTATATTCCCAGCATGAAAGATCCATTGTAGGTATGTTAACTGACATATCGACATGATATTTACCAGATGACAAAAATCTGTCTCTTGTCCATAAACACACATAACACATACACAGGTTATTCCAACGGAAAAGACATAGTAGTCGGCTTTGTATCTTTGCCATGAACCATCCTTTTAAATTTCTATATGGTTTGAATCAATTACAACAATTTAGTTATACTTTCTTGAACCCCCAAACACGGCCATTTCTCCACCTAGCTCTAAGTGCCTGCAATGCCCCTAGGTTGCTAGCTGATGACAGCACCTTTCTGACCTTCATCTCCTGCTAACAAGAAACAAGTCCAGCCTTCTTTGTGTACCACAACCTGGGCTAAGGAGACTTGACTTAACCTCTTGAAAACGCCAGTTTCCTTTGTGTTAAAAAGTTTGAGCAGGCTAAGAAAGGGTTAGAATAAGCAATTAATTATAGCAGAGGCAAAGAAAAGCCAGCAACTAAACTGACTGATAATCAGATAGAAAGAGGTGTGTGCTGGTACAATTGAGTTTTTTCCAGAAAGGCACCTTCTCCTCCCTCTGTCTGCTTTCACCTCCAGAATCGCTAGTCCCCAGGGCTAGCTGGCAGAGCCCTGTTCCCTCTCAAAGGGCTGCAGTGTCGGGAATCCCGTGGAGTCAGACTCCATCTACTTAGCACCAAAATTTCTCAGGCAAAATGCAATTTCTGCTCTATATGTGGCTTCTTCAAAGCCTTACAGGTCAGTCCGACGACACCCTGAGCCAAAGACACAAAGTCTCCGGACAAGTTTATGGTGGAACAGAAACACGGGGAAGTGAGTGAAGTGCAACGAACAGAAGCGGACTTTACCAAAGTTCAGAGGATAATTTCCACTCTCCTTCTGCCTCTCAATCTAAAGAAAAGAGCAAGACGCACAGGGACATGTGACACGGGCGCTGGGAAGGCAAGACGTTTGAAAATGTGCTTGAAGGCCAGCCTGTTAGGCACCCTCTTAGCTCTCGCCCAGGGCCGTCCCATCAGCTCCGAAGCTGGGACCCGGAGGCCAGAGGATCGGAAGCCCTGGGTAACCTTAAGAAATAAGGCCAGAGGGTTCTTGCTCCTTTAGGGAGGGAAAGAAAAAAAAAAAAAAAAAAAAAAAACACGCAGCAACGGGACGCTGGAAATTCATTCTATGAGCTTTCCTTCACAACTCACAAAAACGCACCCGTGAAAATAAGTAACAGCCCCATCCACCATGCGTCCCGGCCCCCAGCTGCCCTCCTGCCCCTGCTCTCCACCGCCACAGCATCGCGGCTCCCGCAGGACGCGCGGCCCCCGCCGAGGGGCGAGCGGAGAGGGACGGACGCGGGGGACCCCGCGGGGCGGGGCGGGGACCTCGCAGTCGCCACTCACCCGGGGAGGGGAAAATCTCCATATCGACTTTTTCCGTCTTGATGATGGTGAGAGTCGGTTTGAGATCGACGGCCGCCTTCATGGTGCCGGCAGTCGGGGACAGACGGGAGGAAAGCAAGTTTGCTGTGACTCGGTTTTTTTTCTTTAATGGGGATTTCTAGCAAGGAAAATGGAGCGAGGCGAAACTCTGACCCTCCTTTCTAAAAAAACCCCAAAACCTCAAATTCTCGCTGAGCGCGCCGCGCGCCGGGAAGATGCGCGCCGGGCACCGTCTCCCGGGAAGTTGGCACTTGCGGAGCAGTGAGCGCGCTCGGGGTGCAGCCTGGCCGCGCCGCGCCCGCGCCCTCTCCCCCAGTGCCGGCGCTGCTCGCTTCGCTCGCTGCCTCCCGGGTCGCGCTCGTCCCGCCCCCGCGCACTCACCCCGCCCTTCGGGGCGTGGCCTGCCGCCCGCCTGGCTGGCTCCGCAGGGGGGAGTAAGGGGCGGGGCGGGGAGGGGAGGGCGGGGCCCAGCGCCTACAGCCAATCGCCGCCCGCTGCTGGAAGCGACAGGAAGGGCGGGGAGGAGGACTGCGGACGCCAGGCAGCAGCGAGCTGAGAGCGCGGGCTGGGGAGGCTGGGAGCGCGGACTGTGCGCTCGGGCTGCCTCCGCTGAATCGGGAAAGTCCTCCTGATTCTCCACGCATTCCTGAGGACTTGGTCACCCGCTGCTGCCCCACTGCCGGCAGCAGCATAGTTTGCCCAGTGTGCGTACATCATTCATTCACAAAGACTGACGCACAGGCCAGGACGTGAGCCATGCGGACCAAGGGCGGGGTGGGGAGGGGCACGAGCAGGGTCCTTGAGCTGGTATCCTCCGAGGGCTTCTGGATATTGGACTCCAGCCCGATGGTGCTTCCAGGGGACTTTTAAGGTTTCAGAACCTGCCCTAAGGAGAGTTAAGAAAAGAGCAGCGCTGTTGGGTAGAAATCTCGCTTCTGAGCTTGATTAGGACCAAGCCTCAATCAGCCTATGGGACAACCTAAAATACAGGCCCTCGAGCCCCTGTATTACTGAAGGATTCCTTCTGGGGTTCGGAGCCCAATTGTGGGGTCCCATAAGCTTCCAGTGTTACCAAAGCAGGGGGCGAGTGGAAGTAAAACTGAAGCTTTGTGTTTCCCAGACTCTTAGGTAAAACTGACAGGTCTCTTGCCAGTCGTACTACCAAAAAGAGTGACGCTGTCAAGGCTCTGGTTTGAATTTTGGGAGTATACCATTGGCAGACCATGATAGGATCAGAATGCACACCTCCTGGTACGTTTGGAAACACACAATATGAACAACAATAAATACAGATAGTTGATCCTAATCAATAAATCACAGAATTACATCCAGAGCTGCAGCCAAGTACCGAAATCTAACTTTGATTAACCAAAAGAGTTAACATCTTTCAGAACAAGCTCAGAAAAGAACTATTTCTAATACTGTTTCCTGATTTCTAAGCATATGCTGAACTCCCACCACTTGCCTGTAAGTATAACTTCTGATTCTGGTAAATTTCAACACACATGCTCACCTTGGTCTAAGCTGTTTTGTTTTGTTTTTAGAACGTTAGTAACTTGAAAGTTGCCCACAGCAAATCAGAGAAGGAGCCAGGAATACAAAATAAATCTCTTAACTCCTGGTCCAAGCTCCAGATTATCCACTTTCTTCATTGACTAGAGGAAAATATTTGTATGTGATCATCCTGATTTTTGAAAGAACAAAGACTGTTGCAATCCAGCTGTGTTTCCAGAAGGTATGAGAAAACAATGCTGGCCTCCAGATGACAAGAACAGATACTTCTGAGCCTGGGAAAAGCTTAGGGAAACAGCTGATGAATGGATTGTACATTCACACACCCAAACAGGCAGCAAAGAAAGGAATCTTGAACCAAGTCCTGCCTTACTCACTGTGATGACATCAGTACGTCCGAACAAATCAAGAGCTGCTTTGGGGAATTTTGTTGCTGTTGCCTTAAGAAAAAGCTAGTATTGTTTTAATTCAAGTGTGAGCATTTCTGTTTGCAACTGCATTTTCTTCAGAACAATTCTTTTCTTCTCCAGTCTGCTCCCCCACTTTTCTCCCAAGCTAGCCTAAACACTGCTGCTGACATTCACCAATGCAAAGCACTAAAAAGCCCACCAGGATTCAAAAGTAAACACGTTCCACTCTAGCAGTGAGGGAATTTGCTTCTTCTAATTCTTCAACAATGACAAATCAGCTAGCCAAGAAGGCCAGTTTCTAATCCAGTCCTGAAGCACAAAATCTCAAAATGTTTGAATGTCCAAATCAGGGAATGGCTTGAGTGGAGTAGGAGAGATAGCCAGGAGTCACCACAGACCTCTTAAAAGGTGGTCTGCACAAATATCTACCTTATCAGAAGTTATGTATTTAACCTTGAATCTGTTGAAACAGCCCTTAGTATAAGGAGTACTTATAAGGTTATGCTAAAAAATTTTTACATATTTAGGACACGTATAGTCCTATCCAGGCCTCTGTTATCCTTGATTTATCAGTTTTGATAACTGATACTTTTATTCTGTGGAACACAAGCAGATTTTTCTGCGTGTTCTTGTCTTTAAATGGCATTTATATCTCATATCTTAAAAGAAAGAAAAGAAAAACTTAGCCAGTGTGTAAGACATAATACTCAGTCACTATGTGATGAATGAGGAACTATCTACTTTGCTACTGCCTCTTCCTAATTTACAGGCTGAGTTTGATATGTTAGGTCATGCAAAGATGGAGCAAAAGATGTCAGCAAACCTGTTCTTAGCTCTGCACTTCACTTTTTCCCTTCTGTAGAGCAGAATCTCTATCCCCAGCACTCATCCCTACTCAGGTTCACGTATGCCTTAGTTTCCCCACCAACAAACCTTCTAGAAGCAGCCATGCTTTGTCTTTCATGTATTTAAGCATGATATTTCAACAGTGTGTCTGATGATTCATAGGAACTCGGGGAAAAAAAACTGAGTGCTTTTTTGCTTTTGCTTATAATACAGGGTTCTTTCCTGCTGCACTGGGGAGGAAACAGATTTGCATTTTAAATATTCCTTGGACTTTAGCTAATTACACGCAACCAAGTGCTGACATTCCTTAAACTAGGACCCTCAAGTCAGAAAAGGTCATGGAAAGTCTGCAGGAATTGGGGGACAAGAATAGCACACTAGACATGAATGGCATCCACAAAACAGTCCCCTTTCCACAGGAATTCCTCCAACACATGCAGTACGCAAAATCCAAAAGCTTTTCCTTGTATTTATACCTCTTCCTCAGCTTCACCCAACATCAATAAAAAAGAAAAAGAAAAATACTCCTAATTACAGTAATAAAAGACACAGGCTTCCACTCCAGAAGTGTGATAGAATAATGTCTACTGCTGAATCATGAACTTCAACAGAACAAAGACTCTGGGTTTTGAGCTGAACTCTGAGGCATACTTTACCCAAGGTAAGCACAAAAACATGCAGACCACTAACGGTTGATCCACAGCGTGTTTATGACTCACAGATGTTGATTTACTGGTATAAATGTAAGATTTTTTTTTAAAAAAAAAGCTTTCAAGCTCTCAATTAACAACCTGTCTAAGCTTCATTTGTGGTCTCATTTTTGTTTGAGAAAATGCAACTGTCCCTGTCACACTCAGAAATAGGCTTAGAAAGCTTAACTTTAAAGCGAGTGGTTTTTTCCATCGTTAAATGCACAGTGGAGAAGAAAGCTACCTGGAGTTTCAATATCTGCCATTATTAAAAAGAAAGAAAAAGAAAAATCCAAGTTAGGAAGAAAAACTAAAAGAATATTCTTAATTATAATTAGATTACAAAGGCTCCTAGGTCAGTTGAAGAACCAGAGTCCCAGAATCGAAGGTAGCAGTTTACTGCAGCTGACCCTGTGACCTCACCAATGTCACTTAACCTTTCTGTGTCACAGCCTCATCTCTGCTTCGGGGAATAAAGTCACCCAGGCTGTCCCTAGCATGTAGGACAGAATCATTAGCTATTGTTGAGAAGGTACAATAAACAATGAATCTCAAGACAGCTGCATTGAGAAGGGGGAAGGAAGGAGAAGGAGAAGACTTGGTAGCCTGTTTCCCTAGAAAACTTCAATGAAACAGAGATCTTAGTGGGTGCTGCAGGCTCTAGGATAAAACCCAGATTCTGATTCTAGTTCTCTCAACTAATCTGCTGAATTCACAGGACTGAGTCACTGAAACAGTCCTGAAACTCAGTTCCTCCATGTCTGAAGTAGAAAAAACAATAGCACCCACCCTTAAGGCAATTTGGAGGATTAAATGAGATGATATACACAAAGCACTTAAAAAAGTGTTCAACTATTATCAAATCATTATTACTGTCTTTAAGATCCAGGACAAGAAAGAATGTGCATGAAGTCATGTTAGATCTTTCTCTAGGGCCATGTTTTTGCAGAATAGCTTGGAATAACTCTCAAGAGAAAGATCAGGATAGCTATCAGCCTTAATGCAAAAATCTGTATAAACCCATTCCTCTGTCCTTGAATTGAAAACTGTCCAATTTTGGTTTCACTTACAAAATTCTAGTGCTACCTCATTGGAAAAGAAAATGTATTTGTGTTTATCTTACTATTTACAGAAATGCTATACTTCAGACTCTGAAAGAAGCTCACGCTGTGCTGCCTCTTTGGAACAAAACTTTAGATCTTTACTGATGACACGGTCAAGCTAGATGGAAGCCCCTTTGTGATGTCCAAGGGCAGTCCTTCTGTTTACTGGAGGAGAAAGATGAGCTTGGGGAGAGTTCATCATCCTGTTAAGTGCCCCATAATCTCAAGCCCATGTCAAGACTAAAAGCAGATTGCTGTTCCCTGCCAGGCACCTCCTGCCACAGGGATCACTTTGGCTAAAGAAGTTAAGTTCTCCCAGCTCGGGCTATTGCAGACTCCCTTGAGACACAAAGCAAGATTGCTTGTTCATGGCCACAGACAGATGATTGGCTCAATTTCTCAAAATCCAACAATATTCTGTGCACTAAATGTGTTGTCGTAGGACAAGTACATTTCAGGATAACCACACTATTATTCCCTGTGGGAGACAGCTTGGCATGGGCTATGAGGGTCTGGGTTGGCTCTATTGCCGTCTGCAATTTCTTTAGACTATAATTATGAACCATTCAACTGCATCTGCAGCCCCAACAATGTGGGATGGATTGGCCCAATCCACAGACCAAGCGACATTTTAAAACCCATCGGTTTAGACATCACGTATTCTTCTTGCAGCAAATCAGCCTGGGCTCAGACAGAAAGAGACGAGGAGCTGCCAATCAAGGCTGCAGGGTTTGGAGGCCTCCTCCACACCCATGGTCTGTTTGCTTCCTCAAAG